AAGTAGCTGGGACCACAGGCGCCCGCCACAACGCCTAGCTATTTTTTGGTTGCAGCCGTCATTGTTGTTTGGCGGGCCCAGGCTGGATTCGAACCTGCCACCTTAGGTGTATGTGGCTGGCACCTTAGCTACTTGAGCTACAGGCGCCAAGCCTTCTTTATTTATTTTTTGAGACAGAATCTCACTCTGTTGCACTGGGTAGAATGCTGTGGTGTCATAGCTCACAGCAACCTCAAACTTTGTGCTCAAGTGATCCTCTTGCCTCAGCTTCCCGGGTAGCTGGGAGTACAGGAGCCCGCCACAACACCTGGCTAGCTTTCTATTTTACTAAAGAGGGCAGTCTTGCTATTGCTCAGGATGGTCTTTAACTCCTGAGTTCAGGCAATCTACCTACTTTGTCCTCCCAGAGTACTAGGATAGGTTACTATTTTAATAGAGAATTATACTAAAGTTATACCACATACACTTTTTTTTTTTTTTGCAGTTTTTTAGCCAGGGCTGGGTTTAAACCTGCCACCTCCGGTATATGGGGCCGGTGTCCTACTCCTTGAACCACAGGTACCACCCCTCTTAATTTATACATATTCAGTGATCTGTATTCAAAAAACATACACAGAATGTGGCAGGCAGAATAAAGGACCACCAAAGATGTCCATGTCTTAATCTTTGGTTTTTGGGGTTTTATTTTTGAGACAGAATCTCAAGCTGTTGCCCTGGGTAGAATACTGTGGTGTCATAGCTCACAGCAACCTCCAACTCCTGGGCTCAAGCAATCCTCTTGCCTCAGTTTTTGCTATTTTTTGTAAAGATGGGGTCTTGCTTTTTGCTCAGGCTGGTCTTGAACTCGTGAGCTCAGGCAATCCACCTGCCTCAGCCTCCCAGAGTGCTAGGATTACAGGTGTGAGCCACCACACTCAGCTTTTGTTCTAATCTTTGGAACTTGTGTTATATTACACATGACATTTAAAGTCTGGGAGGCTGAGGCAGGTGGATTGCTTGAGCTCAGGAGTTTGACACCAGCCTGAACAAGAGTGAGACTTTGTCTCTCCTAAAAATAGAAAAAACTAGCCAGGCATTGTGGTTCATGCCTGTAGTTCCAGCTACATGGGAGGCTGAGGCAAGAGGATCGCTTAAACCCAAGAGTTTGAGGTTGCTGTGAGTTATAATGCTAGGGCACTCTACCCAAGTGAGAATATGTCTCAGTAAAAATAAAAATAATATATAAAGAGTTAGATGGTAAATATATTTTAGGCTTTGTGGTTCAAGCGGCAAAAATGAGGATTTTATGTAGACCCCTATATATTAAGAGAGAAAACAAACTGCCACAAATTTTTTTATTGGCGAAATTCAAACTGTAACAGTAATTATATACATATATATATTGTTGTGTAGGTCTACAAATAAGAATTGAATTATTATTATTTTTTTTTTTCTTTTGGCCGGGGCTGGGTTTGAACCTGCCACCTCTGGCATATGAGGCCAGCGCCCTACCGTTTTGAGCCACAGGCTCCGCCCCTGAATTATTTTGTTTTTTGGGAGCAGGGGTAACAGTTCACTTACTTGAATTTCAATGTTAGTGTTCCCTCACATCAAAATTGATAACAAATATACACATTAGCTCTGACTTGTAATGAGATTTTATGTATTTCATCTTTGAAAATGTTGTTTCATATATATATATATAAAACACTGTAATAAACTGATATCAAACCATGAACGGATGTCTTTAATTGAGAATATGCATCGCTCAGAAGGCATTTACAGAACTCAGTCAGCTTGTAAATCATATTAAAACAGGTGGCAAGTTAGATTTGGTCCACGAGCTGTACTGCACAGATGACTCATTTAAATCACTACTGCTAGTGAAGAATACTGCAAATATAGACTTTTGAACTACAAAAGCAATGATAGCATAAAACTAAAATTTCAGTTCTTCATTTTTAATTTCAGAATATTATGGGATGACAATCGTTTTAGTTACGTGATTTGCTGTTATGCAATCTGAGTCAAAGTTGTAAGTGTGCTTCTCTCCCGGATAGCGTGCATTGTACCCATTAGGTGTGAATTACCCATTCTCTCTTTCCCTTCCCCACTTGCTTGGCTTCCATTGAGTTTTGCTGCCATATGTACACATGGGTTTGGATCAATTAGTCCCAATTTAATAGTGAGTACATGTGGTGTTTTTCCATTCTTTTTCTTTTTTTTGGAGACAGAGTCTCACTTTGTCACCCTCAGCAGAGTGCTGTCGTGTCAAAGCTTACAGCAACCTCAAACTCTTGGGTACAAGTGATCTACTTGCCTCAGCTTCCCAAGTAGCTGGGACTACAGGTGCCTGCCATAACACCTGGCTGTTTTTTTAGAGACAAGGTCTCACTCTGTCTGACCAGCTCAGGCTGGTCTCAAACTCCCAAACTCAGGCAATCCACCTGCCTTGGCCTCCCAGAGTGCTGGGATTTCAGGTGTGAGCCACTGCACCCAGCCTTGTTTTTTCATTCTTGCAATACTTTGCTGAGAAAGGTCTCCAGTTCCATTCAAGTTGTTATAAAAGGTATTGGCTTACCATCTTTTATGGCTGAGTAGTATGCCATAGTATACATATACCACATTTTATTAATCCACTCGTGTACTGGTAGATACTTGAGTTGATTCCACATCTTTGCAATCATGAATTGTGCTGCAATAAACATTCCAGCATATGTATCTTTTTGATGAAATAACTCTCTTTTTCCTTTGGGTAAAGGTCCAGTATTGGTATTGCTGGATCAAATGGTAGGTCCACTTTAAGTTCTTTGAGGTCTCTCCATACTATTTTCCATTTTGTGGTACTTCACATATTTCCTCCGCAGCAGAGCCCAAGAGGTTTATCAATATTTATCTCTCTATGACTCTGTATTTTCTACTTATTCTAAGTGCATGTGTGTTTGTATGTGTATATGTAAGACAGATAAAACAATTTTCAGATCATCAAATCTATTCTAGCCATTTTTATTACATTATTTTTATTTTATTTATTCATTTATTTTTGAGACAGAATCTCACTATGTTGCCCTCGGTAGAGTGCTGGAGCCTCACAGCTCACAGCAACTTCAAACTCTTGGGCTTAAGCAATTCTCTTGCCTTCGCCTCCCAAGTAGCTGGGACTACAGGCTCCAGCCATAACACCTGGCTATTTTTTTTGTTGTAGTTGTCACTATTGTTTAGCAGGCCTGGGCCAGGTTCGAACCTGCCATCCTCAGTGCATGTGGTTGACACCATAACCACTGTGCTATAGGCACTGAGCCTATTTATTTTTTTGAGACAAAGTCTCACTCTGTCACCCTAGGTAGAGTGCTATGGCATCACTATAGCTCATAGTAACCTCAAACTCTTGGTTTAAGAGATCCTCTTGCCTCAGCCTCCCAAGTGGCTGGGACTACAGGTGTCCACCATAAGGTCTGGCTAGTTTGTTCTATTTTTTAGTGGAGACAGGGTCTTTTTTTTTTTAGAGACAGAGTCCCATCCTATCCCCTGAGTAGAGTGCAATGGTGTCATAGCTCACTGCAACCTCACACTTGGGCTGTGGGCATCCCACTCCCTCAGCCTCCAGAAGCATCTGGGATTACAGGTGCTCACTGCAGTGCCCTCTGGGTTTTTCTTTTTTTTAGGATTCAGGGTCTCACTTGGGCTCAGGCAAGTCTCAAACTTCTGAGCTCAAGCAATTCTCCCTCCTCAGCCTCCCACAGTGGTGGGATTACAGGCGTGAGCCACCGTGCCTGGTGGAGACAGGGTCTTGCTCTTGCTCAGGCTGTGCGTGGTGGCACACACCTCTAGTCCCAGCTATTTGGCAGACCGAGGCAGGAGGACTGTCTGAGCCCAGTAGTTCGAGGTTGTAGTGAGCTACAATGAACACCATTACCCTCTAGCCCAGGTAACAGGGTAAGACCCTGTCTCAAAAACAAACAAACAAATAGCCCTGTAAAGCTTCCTCCAAACAAACAAATAGAAAACCAAAGGATGGGCCTTTATGGAAAAGAAAAAAAATTCTATTCCAGTCTTCAAAAACAGAGAAATAAAGGTTAAGCACATTTTAAACTCTTAAAGACTATTTTATTACAAAGCAACAGAAGGTACAACTTCAAAATCACTTGAGGGAAGAAACAGTGGTAATAAAATTTGAGCAAAACAGGAAGAGGTGGAAATATAAAAGGAATAAGAGACACAGAAAATCAACACTAAGTAAGCACCAGGGTAATAACTGCTACAGACAATGCTAAAATCAGTGGGCAAACGAGGAAAAATAGCACATTTACCTGGCGTCAAAGTATCTATCTACCCTTAAGATATTTACCAATTACAGATGGAAAAATAGTAACTAACAGGGGAGAAACCAAAAAGGCATTATCTAACCAAGTGATCAAAGTTAACAACACCAGTAATAAGGCACTCCAACATCTGATATGTGATGTGCAGAGGATACAATATCACTTCTGTGATATTCTTGTCAAAAATGCATAATCTCAATCTAATTGTGAGAAAATATAACACAAAAAGAAACTGAGAGACCTTCTACAAAAAATGCTAATTAGGGCTCAGTGCTTAGGGCCCTGAACCCCCAACTCTTGGGCTTAAGCGATTCTTTTGCCTCAGCCTCCCAAGTAGCTGGGACTACAGGTCCCTGCTACAATGCCCAGCTGTTCGTGTTTTTTTTTTTTAGTTCAAGTTGTCATTGTTGTTTGGCAGGCCCGGGCTGGATTTGAACCCACCAGCTCTAGTGTATGTGGTTGGTGCCCTTAGCCGCTAAGCTACAGGGGACGAGCCTGACTGGGGTTTTTAAAAATTTGTTTTATTTCTTATTTTTCATGACTGTACCATACCTATGCAAAATGTTAACTTAGTCACTCTGGGAGGCCGAGACAGGTAGATTGCTTGAGCTCCAGAGTTTGAGATCAACCTGAGCAAGAGCAAGTCTTACCTATCTCTAAAAATAGCTGGTCACTATGGCGGGTACCTGTAATTCCAGCTCAAAAAAAAAAAAAAAAAGTTAACCTAGTGGAAATGAAGTGAAGGATAAATAGGAATTCTCCATAATAATTCTGCATGTTTTCTATAAGCCTAAAATTATTTCAAAATAAGAAAGTTAAAAAACAAAGAGGCTGGGTACTGTGGCTCATATCTGTAATCCTAACACTTTGGGAGGCTGAGGAGGATCACTTGCAGCCAGGAGTTTTAGACCAGCTGAGCAAGGGAGACACTGTATCTACTAAAAATAGCCAGGTATTGTGGCAAGTGCCTGTAGTCCCAGCTACTTGGGAGGCTGAGACAAAAGAATCACTTAAGCCCAAGAGTTTGAGGTTGCTGTGAGCTGTGATGCCACAGCACTCTACTGAGTGTAACATAGTGGGACTCTGCCTCAAAAAAAAAAAAAAAAAAGCCAGCCACTGAGGAAGAAAAGGGCATATCCCTTTTGGAATGGGAGGAAAATATGATGGAAAGAGGCTAGGCACGATGGCTCACACCTGTAATCCTAGCACTCTGGGGGTCTGAGGCTGGTAGACTGAGTGAGTTCAGGAATTTGACACCAGCCTAAGCAAGAGTGAGACCCCCTCTCTAAAAAATAGCCAGGCATTGTGGCAGGTCCCTATAGTGGCAGGTCCCTATAGTCCCAGCTACTCGGGAGGCTGAGGCAAGAGAATTGCTTGTGCCCAAGAGTCTGAAGTTGCTATGAGCTATGATACCATAGTACTTTACTGAGGGTGACAAAGTGAAACTCTGTCTCAAAAAAAAAAAAAAAAAGAAAAGAAAAGAAAAGAAAATGTGATGGAAGAAAGAACCAAAAGAACGAGAGGAATTAACTGGGGTTGGGAAAGGTTCCCTTGGGAGCTGATATTGGTAAGGTCTTTGGTCAGCACTTCTTCTTAGGCTTTTATTCCAAAGTAGTGCTTCAAAGGAAGCCTGCCAGCAATCACCGAAGTTACTGTATCCATTGACTCACCCACTAGCTATAATCCCCAGTGACCTCCCCTATCTGATCGGCCCTCGCTCACCTGAGCACCATGGTCCTGTCATGTCATTTGCAATCATCCAGGGCTCTTTCCCTTGCTCCAATAAGGAGATGACATCAGGCTTAGAAATGGAAAGTCCTGTTTATGGGAAAAGAAATGGAGCATGGTCATAATGTTCCAAAATTCAAACCCAGTCCTTAGGTCACCATGGGAGAGGCAGTTATAGGGAAGGTGTGGAGGCTGTCCAAAGGATGGGAAGATGGAGGTGCCCAACGCAACTACTCATTTCCAATTCCACAAAGCACAAAATAGTTCCCCTGGGAACAGACAGCAGAAACTTGTGAGTTGTCCTAGAAACGTACAGTGAAGACACCAGAAATTCCAGAAGGGTAATGCTGAATTATTTAGAGTAGGCAAACTATGGTGATTATTCTCCATTACCTGTCTTCTTCCCCCCAATCCATTCCTTGATGTTCCTGGCCCTGTCTTTACTGTAAGGACTGTTATTATTCCTGCCCTATGGTTTCCTATGGTATGGCAGATGGAAAACACTGGTAGGAGGTCAGCAGGCTGGAGAGAGAGTGCAAGGCATTTCTTACTCCTCTCCCTCCCTCCCTCCTTTGGTCCAGGGGTTGAGAGGTAGCTATGGTTGCTGCTGGCTTGTCCCTTCTCTGTGGCTCTAGATCAGTGACACCAGTTTTCTCTCTACACCCCCTTAGGCCAGAGGTGGAAACAGCCTCCCATTGTTGTCGCTGGGTAACTTGGTTTCCTGTCTGGCCCTGTGTGCTGGATATCCTTACCTAGTGACACCAAGTTACTGAAGTTCTCCAAAGTCACGTCCCTGTACAAGTCCCTCTGAGCAGGTTCCAGGCACTTCCATTCTTCCTGAGAGAACTCTATGGCCACATCCCTGAATGTCACTAATCCCTGAAACAATAAACCCACATATCAGCAGTAAATTAAAAGACTTCTGTTTTTCTCACTTTTCATTAGGAAAACTTTCAAAATACACAAACGTATAGAGACTAGCATACAGTACTGGCCCTCATGAGCCTATCACTCTGCTTCAACAATTAAAAGATGCGTTATCTTATTTTAACTTCTGCCTTCCATTTCTATTACTAGTGTATTTTGAGGGAAATCCTACATGATATCAAACATCATATAATTTCACCCCAAAATACTTTAGTATTTAAGGGCATACAGGCTTTAAAAAAAAAAAAAGCATAAAAAGCAGAATATCATTACTATACTTAATAAAATTAACAATAGGGTAGTACCCGTAGCTCAGCAGGTAGGGTACTGGCCACATATGCGGAGGCTGGTAGGTTCGAACCTGGCCCAGGCCAGCTAAACAACAGGTAAAAAAATAACTACCACAAAAATATAGCTGGGCATTGTGATGGGCACCTGTAGTCCCAGCTACTTGGGAGGCTGAGGCAAGAGAATCGTTTAAGCTCAGGAGTTTGAGGTTGCTGTGAGCTGTGATGCCACAGCACTCTACCCAGGGCAACAGGTTGAGATGCTGTCTCAAAAAAATAAATAAATAAAATAAACAACAATTTTCTAAGAAACAGAGTAAGTTCTAATTGTCCCAATTGTCTCATAATTGATTTTTAAAAATGGTTTGTTCAAATCAGGTTTCAAACAAGATCCACACATTACATTTTTTTTTTTTTTTTGAGATATAGTCTCACTTTGTTGCCATAGGTAGAGTGCTATAGGGTCATAGCTCACAGCAACCTCAAACTCTTGGGCTTAAGTGATCATCTTCCCTCAGCTTCCTGAATAGCTGGGACTACAGGCACGTGCCACAATCCCTGGATAGCTTTTCTGTTTTTAGTAGAGATGAGGGTCATGTTCTTTGCTCAGGCTGGTCTCGAACTCCTGAGCTCAGATGACTGACCCGCACCGGCCTCTCAGAGTGCTAAGATTACAGGTGTGAGCCACCGTCCCTGGCTATACATTGCATTTAGTTGATAGGTTTCTTAAAGTCTCTCAAATCTCTAACAGACCTCACAAACTCTTCTTAAAATTTTATTGCCATGCATTTATTACAGAAACATTCGAATCAGTGGAATTTCTCACATTCTTCATTTGGCTGATTGAATCTTCATGGTCTAGTTTAATGTGCTAATTTATTTCCATATTTCTTGTAAAGTGGCAGTTAGATCTGGAGGCCTGATTTCCATTTTGGGGGTGGTGGCGTTAACATGTCAGTGGTGGTATTGTGTACTTTCTATAACATTCCATCAGCAGGCATGTGATGATTGGTTGTCCCATTTATAATGAAGTTAAAATTGATGAGGAGGTTCAGGTTTTGACAACCTGATCCTTTCAGTAAAATGTCTTTAAGAGGAGGGGATGAAGCAGGGCACTGCAGGAAGGAGGTGATCCAGCAAGCAAGTTAGGCCTGAATGCCTATGTCATAAAGGAAGTACAATAAACACAAATGTGACTAAAGGCAAACATGCTCTTAAACATTCCTATGGCTACAGATAAAACTTCCTAAAGACAGGCTTGGCGCCTGTGGCTCAAGTGGCTAAAGCACCAGCCATATACACCTGAGCTGGCAGGTTCGAATCCAGCCCGGGCCCGTCAAACAACAATGACGACTACAACCAAAAAATAGCCAGGCGTAGCAGCAAGCGCCTGTAGTCCCAGCTACTTGGGAGGCTGAGGCAAGAGAATCGCTTAAACCCAGGAGTTGGAGATTGCTGTGAGCTGTGATGCCACAGCACTCTACTCAAGGCGACAGCTTGAGGCTCTGTCTCAAAACAAACAAACAAACAAACAAACTTCCTACAGGATGCTTCTATTTTCCACACAGGAGCGCTAAATGGGGTCACATAAATAACCTAAATCAGTGGTTCTCAACCTTCCTAATGCCTCCAGTCTTTAAAATAGTTCCTGTAGGTTGCAACCCACAGGTTGAGAACTGCTGACCTAAACCAATATAGAAAACAAATAGCAACATGGTCCTGGCAAATAATGTCTTTAAAAAATGAGCCCCTTTCACTACTTTATGCTTCAGATAATAAATATAAAGATAGAATTCAGGCTGGGCATGGTGGCAGATGCCTATAATCCTAGTAGTTTGGGAGGTCAAGGTGGGAGGATTGCTTGAAGACAGGAGTTCAAAACCAGCATGGGCAACATAGCAAGACCCTGTCTCTACAAAAAATAAAAAATTAGCTGGGCATGACGGCACATGTTTATAAGCGCTGCTACTTAAGAAGATGAGGCAGGAGGATTGCTTAAGTTCAGGAGTGTGAGGTTACAGTGAGCTCTGATGATGTCATTGTACTCTGGCCTGGGCAATAGAGTGAGACCCTGTCTCAGAAAAAAAGAAAAAGAAAAAAAGGATAGAATTCAAAATGTCTTATAAATCTCTATCTTAAGACCTAAGATTTATAGAAGTTTAAAAACTATCCTAAAGAATCAGGAAAATATTTATTCTATGGATCTCAACCTCGGTAATACTTTCTCCTTTAGGGTGCATTTAGGACCATTAGGGGATCATCTAGTTGTTCCAAAGTCGGGGAGGGGGTAGTCTGAAGGAATAGTATAGCCCTGGCCTTTAATGCCCGGCATCAAGAACACCAAGTGCCCTGAATTACGTGGCCTATATACCCAGGGCAATCCCATACAACAGAAACTGTACTAGAAAATGACAACCATTTGTTAGATATCATGAGCATATTTTTTGTTATGGCAAAATTTTTTTTTTTTTTTTTTTTTTTGAGACAGAGCCTCAAGCTGTCCCCCTGGGCAGAGTGCCGTGGCATTACAGCTCACAGCAACCTCCAACTCCTGGGCTCAAGCGAGTCTCCTGCCTCCGCCTCCCAAGTAGCTGGGACCACAGGCGCCCGCCACAACGCCCGGCTATTTTTTGGTTGCAGCCATCATTGTTGTTTGGCGGGTCCAGGCTGGGGATTCGAACCCGCCACCTTAGGTGTACGTGGCTGGCGCCTTAGCCGGTTGAGCTATAGGCGCCGAGCCATGGCAAAATTTTAAATAAATGCAAGGACTTTTATTGGCTATATAATATTGTACCTTATATATTGTAAGATACATTCATTCCATTATTTTGGAGCATTTAGCCTAAAAAGATGTGTAAAATCTTCATTTTACTAGATACTTGTTAATATTCATATTCCCTCACTATCCACTTCTCCTTGTTCCTGAAATAAGAAAGCTGATAAAGCATTTACCTGAGTCACATGAATTTGGCCCCACAAAAAACACATGTGCAACTTCAAGATCAATCATCTTATAGTTGTTCATCCTTCATAAATTCCCTTGCAAGACAGAACTTTCTGTAACTAAAATACCAAATCACAGCTCCCATTCTAATGGCCTCAACATTAGGAGTTACCACATATTGAGACCAATACCAACCGTTACAGCTCCTATCATGTTTACATGAAGAGAGAGGAGTGGAGGCTTCTACTAAAAACACCCCGATGTCGGATAAAACATAATGAACAATCACTTAAATGTATCTCTAAGCTCTCAAGAAGATAAGGGAAATTAAATCCCAGAGTTAACAAAAGAAACAACACATACACACACACACCCCTAGAGAGGGCTCAGCAGGAACAATATATGAAGTCAAATGCTTTGCTAAGCCTTAGTATGGGGCCTAGGATACACACAAAGTAGGATGTGAACCCATGAAAAGGCTGAGATCTTAAAAGATGAGATCCTAGAAGTTACCTCAGTGAAATGGTGGGCTCCAATAAAAACCTTACTGGAAAAGAGTGACAGAGTGACAGCATGACAAGGAATCTGTGACAGCTCCAGACAGAGAAATAAGTATTACCATTAATGACACTACTACTAGTAGTAATAGTAGCAGTAGTAGTAGTTAGTATCTCTTGTCAACATATGACCGAAGGCCTACTCTAAAGTAAGTCTGAAATTCAAAATGACATAATTCATTCAGTTGGGAAAGCCCTAGGTGAAAAATTAAAGTAGGTCAAGTTTGAGAACACTCCTAGGTGTAAAACCTTTCTGAAAAAAAGTAACCCCTACCCAGTTGCCTAAGGACTACCACATATTAAATTAAATCAACCAAGACAATTCAATGGCGAAAGATTAGTCCTTTGAACAAACGATTAGTCTAGTACTAGGAAACTGGATAGCCCTATAAAAAAAATAAAAGTTTGATTCCTATCTCACATCAAATACAAAAACAAACTCAAAATCAATCATAGGCCTAAATGTCAAAGTTAAAACTATAAAATTCTTAGAAGAAAATGTAGGAACTTATCTTCATGACCTTGGGTCAGGTACTGGTTTCTTAGATATGGCACTAAAACACATATGACAAAAGATTAAAAAGATAAAGTAGGCTCAGTGCCTGTGGCTCAAGTGGTTAAGGCACCAGCCATATACCACCATATACCTGAGCTGGCAGGTTCAAATTCAACCTGGGCCCGCCAAATAACAATGACTGCTGCAACAACAACAGCAAAATAGCCGGGTGTTGTGGTAGGCACGTGTAGTCCCAGCTACTTGGTAGGCGGAGGCAGGAGAATAGCTTGAGCCCAGAAGATGGAGGTTGCTGTGAGCTGTGATGCCAGAGCACTCTACCCAGGGTGACAGCTTGAGGCTCTGTCTCGAAAAAAAAAAAAAAGATAAATAAACTTTATCAAAACTAAAAACTTTTGTGCCACAAGTGATTCCATCAAGAAAGTGAAAAATCTAATCCACAGAATGGGAGAAAATATTTGTAAATCATCTATCTAATGAAGGACTTGCACCTAGAATATAAAAAGAATTCTTACCACTCAATAATAAAAAGGCAACACAGGGTGGTGCCTGTGGCTCAGTGAGTAGGGCGCCGGCCCCATATACTGAGGGGGGCGGGTTCAAACCCGGCCCCAGACAAACCGCAACAAAAATATAGCCAGGTGTTGTGGCAGGCACCTGTAGTCCCAGCTACTCAGGAGGCTGAGGCAAGAGAATCACCTAAGCCCAGGAGTTGGAGGTTGCTGTGAGCTGTGTGATGCTGCCATGGCACTCTACTGAGGGCAATAAAATGAGACTCTGTCTCTAAAAAAAAAAAAAAAAAGGCAACACAAATAAAAACTGTGGGATAACACAAATCATATAGCTTCTGGGAAACCACACTGTATACAATGTACACTTACTAGACAGAACGTGGGTGAAAAAGGCAAATAACATGTTAGGATTATAAAAATAGTTTTGTCCCTGTAGACCTCCTGAAAGAGTCTCAATGTCTTCCTGGACCACATTTTGAGAACTGTTGATCTACTCCTACACAATTTAACATGAATGATTTGAAAAAATCTTGTCACAAAACATATAGAGTATGATAACTTTATATCAAATTAAAAACAGAAGATCCAACAGTATATTGTCTAGTGAGCAGTCATATATGAGGAAATGATCATAAAAATCAAAGGACTGGGCTCGGTGCCTGTGGCTCAAGCAGCTAAGGCGCCAGCCACATACACCTAAGGTGGCAGGTTCGAATCCAGCCCGAACCCGCCAAACAACAATAATGGCTGCAACCAAAAAATAGCCAGGTGTTGTGGCGGGCACCTGTGGTCCCAGCTACTTGGGAGGTGGAGGCAGGAGACTCGCTTGAGCCCAGGAGTTGGAGGTTGCTGTGAGCAGTGAAGCCATAGCACTCTACCCAGGGGGACAGCTTGAGGCTCTGTCTCAAAAAAAAAAAAAAAAAAATCAAAGGACTGATAAATATAAAATTAAAAGTATTCATTACCATTGGTAGGAATGGTAATGGGATATGAGAAAAGATGTGCTCAGGAAAGGGAATGTAGGTTGGTTAGATGGTATATTAATCTGGGTGATGAACACATTAGTGCCTGTTATTATTTGGATATTTGTCTCCTCCAAACTTCATGTTGAAATTTGATCCCCAATTAGATAGCAGGGTGCAGGTCCCTCATGAATACCTTACCACCCTCCCCGGGTGAGTGAGTTCTCACTCTATGAATCTCTCTGAAATGTGGTTGTTAAAAGGGGCCTGGCACTTCTCCCCTCTTGTTCTTTTGCTTCCTCTCTCCCCTTGTGGTCTCTGCACATGCCAGCTCCCCTTCAGCTTCCACCATAAATGGGAACAGCCTGAGGGCCCAATTTTGAACTTTCCAGCTATCAAAATTGTGAGCTAAATAAACCTTTTTTCTTTATAAATTACTTAGCCTCAGGTATTCTTTTATGCACCACAAAAATGTATTAAGATAGTACTCATTTTGTTATTCTTTATGCCACATATTATGTTATAGAAATGTTTTTATATATATTTATTGACAGTATGAAATGTTTTATGATTTTTTTTTTTTTTTTTTGAGATAGGGCCCTGGGTAGAGTGTCATGGCATCAAAGCTCACAGCAACCTCCAACTCCTGGGCTCAAGTGATTCTCTTGCCTCCGCCTCTCAAGTATTTGGGACTATAGGCGCCTGCCACAACGCCCAGCTATTTTTTGGTTACAGCCGTCATTGTTGTTTAGTGGGTCTGGGCTGGATACGAACCTGCCAGCTCAGGTGTATGTGGCTGGAGCCTTAGCTGCTTGAGCCACAGGCACTGAGCCATGTTTTATGAATCTTAAAAGGGGACTGACATTTAAAAACAGAAGAAAGGAATCCACCCTGGTCATTGGAAAAGATTCAACCTTAGTTATGATAAAAGAGACTCATAATCCTCTAAAGAGAACATTACACACACGTGAATAGTATTGGTGAAGAGAGGGCCACTAAGGGAAGTGGGCATCATCACTATTCCTTGGAATGGAGGAACTCTGAGCAGGTCACAGACAAGTTTCAGGAAACAGAAATGTTCATGTAATCTTGAGGGAAAATGGATTATTCCAACGGTAGAAAACCATACCTGGGCCATGGCTTTTAGAACTATCTGAACTGCTCTGACTTCTCTGGAGTCTTCTCTTGGACAAATGCAGAGTCCTAAAAGAGCAAAATAGAGGGAGAAGGAGTAAATCTCTGATGAACTGAGCTTGCCTTAGCACTCCCAATTAGATGAGCTTAAAACAGTTTGTACTTCCACTGTCCCTGCTTTGCTTCCTCCACCCTCTCCATGTCCCACTGTGCAAACACTAATATTAAGAACAACCGAGTTCACAAAACCCACAAAACCCATAAACACTAAGGAACTCAAAAGCAGTAAGATAGTTTCAAGACAGATGTGCTCCAGCACTGAAACAGAACCCAGGCCCCTAAGCAGTAGGGATAATAGCTGAGACAGTCTCTCATCTTGCAGATACTAAGCTAAACCTTAATCTAATTCTGGCTAGGATGTAACTTGAAATTTTTCTTACATGTCATTTTTTTTTAAAGGTTATATTGATTTTGTGGATGTAAACAAAATTTTCCAATATAAACATTATCCAAAAAATCAATACATTGAGAGATATGTACTTTTTCAGGCAAGATCAATATTCTGAGCCAGACAATAGCAGACTGGTTAAATAAATTAAAATATTTCTATATAATGGTAATTTTGAGCACTCACAAATTTAGTAGTAATGTAATAATTAATAACAGAAAATGTTCCAGATATGGTTAGTGAAAACAGAGTAGTTAACAAAATAGCTAGGCGAGCAGCGCCTGTGGCTCAAAGGAGTAGGGCACCGGCCCCACATGCCGGAGGTGGCGGGTTCAAACTCAGCCCCGGCCAAAAAAAAAAAAGCTAGGCATCATGTGGTCCTATTTCATTTTTTTTTCTTTTTGAGACCAAGTCTCACTGTCTCTACCCTCAGTAGAGTGCCGTAGCATCACGGCTCACAGCAACCTCAAACTCTTGGGCTTAAGTGATTCTCTTGCCTCAGCCTCCCAACTATCTGGGACTATAGGTGCCTGCCACAGCTCCCGGCTATTTTTTGGTTGTAGTTGTCATTATTGTTTGGCAGGCCAGGCTGGATTCGAAGCTGCCAGCTCTGGTGTATGTGCTGGCACCCACATAGCTGAGATAGTCTCCCATCTTGGAGATGCTAAGCTAAACCTTAATCTAATTCTGGCTAGGATGTAACTTGAAATTTTACAAGCCATAGTTATGATAAAAGATTGGGAGGCTGAGGCAAGAGAATCGCTTGCTCACTAAGCTAAGCTAAGATTGACTATTGACAACCTGATCCTTTCAGGAAAATGTCTTTAAGAGGAGGAGATGAAGCAGGGCACTGCAGGAAGGAGGTGATCCAGCCGCTGAGCTACAGGTGCCAAGTCATGTGGTCCTATTTCTTTTTTTTTTTTTTTGAAACAGAATCTCACTTTGTTGCCCTGGGGTAGAGTGCCGAGCCATCACAGCTCACAGCAACCTCCAACTCTTGGGCATAAGCAATTCTCTTGCCTTAGCCTCCCAAGTAGCTGGGACTACAGATGCCCGCCAGCTGTTTTTTGTTGCAGCTGTCATTGTTGTTTAGCTGTCCTAGGCTGAGTTCAAACCCGCCACTCTCGGTGTATGTGGCTGATGCCATAATTACTGTGTTATGGGCGCTGAGCTGGTCCTATTTCCAAAATGCATGTATTAATAGTATATCATATAGGGGCCGGGCGAGGTGGCTCACGCCTGTAGTCCTAGCACTCTGAAAGGACGAGGTGGGTGTATTGCCTGAGCTCAGGAGTTTGAGACCAACCTGATTAAGAGTGAGACCCTATCTCTAAAAATAGCATGTGTTGTAGTAGGATCCCTTGAGCCCAGGAGTTTGAGGTTGCTGTAAGCTATGATGCCACAGCATTCTAAACACGGTACAAAGTGAGACTCTGTTTCAAAAAACAAACAAACAAACAAACAGACAAAAAAAAAAAAAATATATATATATATATATATATATCATATAGATAACAGACAAAATCAGATGAAAATGACTTGGAAGTTTTACTGTTAAACATAACTTCTGAGTTGTCTTAAATTTTCTTATTTTTATTTATGTGGGGTTTTGTTCCCATATCATGCATTGATTTTTTTTTTTTTTTTTTGAGACAGAGTCTCTGTCACCCTGGGTAGAGTGCCATGGCATCACAGCTTCCAGCAACCTCAAACTCTTAGGCTCAAGAAATCCTCTTGTATCAGCCTCTGGAGTAGTTGGGACTATAGGCATCTTCCTTGATGCCCAGCTAGTTTTTTCTATTATTAGTAGAGATGGGGGTCTCACTCTTGCTGAGGCTGGTCTCAAACTCTTTTTTTTTGAGACAGAGTCTCAAGCTGTCGCAGTGGGTAGAGTGCAGTGGCGTCGCAGCTCATAGCAACCTCTAACTCTTGGGCTTAAGCAATTCTTTTGCCTCAGCCTCCCAAGTAGCTGGGACTACAGATGCCCACCACAACTCCTGGTTATTATTATTATTATTTTTTTGGTTGTAGTTATCATCATTGTTTGATAGGCCCAGGTTGGATTTGAACCTGCCAGCTCCGGTGTGTATGGCTGGTGCCCTAAGCCACTTGAGCTACCGGCACCAAGCCTGGTCTCAAACTCTTGAGCTCAAGCGATCCACCTGTCTCAGCCTCCCAGAGTGCTAAGATTAGCGGCTGGCCCATGCACTGATTTTTTTTTTTTGCAGTTTTGACCGGGGCTGGGCTTGAACCCACCACCTTTAGCATATGGGGCCGGCGCCCTACCCCTTTGAGCCACAGGCGCCACGCACACTGATTTTTTTAAATGCCATATTTCCAAATTCTGTTAAATGTAAGCCACTCCCAAATAGCAGATGAAAATGAAAATACTTACTTAAAAATATCTTCCTCTGAATAGGAAATAATAGCTCAGGATATTCTAAAAACAGTTGTATTTTCACAGAGGACTTTTGTTGTTTTTGCTCCTTCAGCTCCCAAAAGGTTAAAACTCCGTAATTTGGTAACTATATTCATGTGTGCTGCAGTCCTACCTGGAAAAAAACTAAAAGTCACTTGGGCCATCTTCCCTGTATAGGTTATGTTTCCTTTAAGTATCTTCTTGCCAGAGGGATTTATGATGTTGCTGCCTGTAACATATTTACCCAAATGTCCTCTACACAGCTGCCAAATGATCTTGCTGGCCTGGTACGGTGGCTCATACCTGTAATCCTAGCACTCTGGGAGGCTGAGGCAGGAGGACTATCTGAGCTCAGGAGTTGGAGACCAGCCTGAGCAAGATTGAGACCCCATCTCTACTAAAACTAGAAAAAAGATAGCTGGGTGTGGTGGTTGGTGCCTGTAGTTCCACCTATTTGCGAGGCTGAGGCAGGAGAATCACTTGAACCCAGGAGTCTGAGGTTGCTGTGAGTTATGATGCCACAGCACTCTACCCACGGTGACAGAGTGAGGCACTTTTTCAAAAAAAAAAAAAAGGGAAAAGATAGAGGAGGGTCTCACTCTGTCATTTAGGCTGAAGTATAGTGGTATGATTACATCTCAAACTGCAGCCTTAAACTCTTGGGCTCCAGAAATCGTCCAGTAGCTAGGACTATAGGCTTGTGCCACTACATCTTTTTATTTTTATTTTTGTGTGTGTGTGTGGGCGTGTGTCTTGCTTGGTTACCTAGGCTGGTCTTGAACTCCTGGCCTCAAGTGATCCTCCTGCCTCAGCCTCCCAAAGTGCAGGATTACAGGCCTAATCCATCCAGGATGCACTCTCTCTTTCTCTGCCAGGTTAAGGACTCAGTGAGAAGGTATTGACTGCCATCCAAGAAAACAGCCCTGATCAGGATCTGACTAGGCTGATATCCAGACCTCAGAGTTCTAGTCTTTAGAACTGCACGATAAATTTCTGCTGTTTAAGTCATCCAGTCTATGACATTTTGTTGTGGAAGCCCAAACTAAGACAGATGCCAATACTACCCGAACTGAAGTACATATTGAATAAAATATTTATCAAAATTCAAAAAATTTTTTTAAACTCTAACTTTTTTTTTCAGAAATAGAAAAATCCATCCAAAATTGACATGGAAAGCTTGGCGCCTGTGGCTCAAGTGGGTAAGGCACCAGCCATATACCCCTGAACTGGTGGGTTCCAATCCAGCCCGGGCCTGCCAAACAACAATGACAGCTGCAACCAAAAAATAGCCAGGCATTGTGGTGGGCGCCTATAGTCCCAGCTACTTGGGAGGCGGAGGCAGGAGAACTGCTTGAGTCCAGGAATTGGAGGTTGCTGTGAGCTGTGATGCCACAGCACTCTATCCAGGGTGACAGCTTGAGACTCTGTTTCAGAAAAAAAACAAAAAACAAAAAACAGGGGCAGTGCCTATGGCTCAAAGGAGTCTGCGCCCCACATACTGGAGGTAGCAGGTTCAAACCCAGCTCTAGCCAAAAACTGCAAAAAAAAGAAAAAAAAAAAGTGGGCAGCGCCTATGGCTCACTGGGTAGGGTCTGGCCCCATATACCCAGGGTGGCGGGTTCTAACCCAGTCCCGGTCAAACTGCAACAACAAAAAATAGCCAGGGCATTGTGGTGGGTGCCTGTAGTCTCACCTACTTAGGAGGCTGAGGCAGGAGGATTCTGCCTAAGCCTAGGAGTTGGAGGTTGCTGTGAGCTGTGTGACACCACGGCACTCAACCGAGGGTGATGAAGTGAGACTCTGTTTCTACAAAAAACAAAAAACAAAAAACAAAAATTGACATGGAAGCTAAAGGGTCCCTGAATACAAAATAATCTTGAAATAGAATAAGGTTGGAGGCCAAAAACTTACTACAAAGTTTTTAAAACAGTAATTAAAACTAAATATTTTTATTTTTATGATTTTTTTTTTTTTTTTTTTGAGACAGATTCTCACTCTGTCACTTTCGGTAGAGAGCTATGGCGTCACAGCTCGCAGCAACCTCAGACTCCTGGGCTTAAGTGATTCTCTTATCTCAGCCTCCCAAGTAGCTAAGACTATAGGTGGCCACCACAACACCTGGCTATTTTTTAGAGATGGGGTCTTGCTCTTGCTCAGGCTGGTCTCAAACCTATTAGCTCAGGCAATCAACTTGTCTCAGCCTCCCAGAGTGTTAGGATTACAGGCGTGAGCCACCGCGCCTGGCCAGTAATTAAAACTATCTGGTACTGGCATAAAGACAGATATCTAGAACAATGAAATAGATGGGAGCTATGCATGGTTGTTCACACCTATAAAGGAGCCCAGAAATCAACCCCCATGTATTTGGTCAAATGATTTTTGACAAGGGATTCTCTCTCTCTCTTTCTTCTTTTGAGGCAGAGTCTTATTCTGTTGCCCCAGTCTAGAGTGCTAAGGCATCGGCCTAGCTCACAGCAACCTCAAACTCCTGGGTTGAAGCAATTCTTTTACCTCAGCCTCCCAAGTAGCTGGGACCATACTGCTGTCAGTAATTCTTTTCTTTTCTTTCTTTCTTTCTTTTTTTTTTTTT